GATTTAATAAAAAGTATTGTTGCGATAATTTATTTACTTTACCGTTAAATCTTGTTGAAAAAATAATTATTTAATACTTACTCGAACTCCAATCAGACTTAAAGTTGCACCAATCAAAATAAAAAAATACCGCAACCGTTTGATGTGTCGAATTCAATATGTCAACATATCTAAAAATCACAACAATATCATACTTTTGACAGTTTGTAGTATGTGCGTTATATACAGTAGCTCCTGAAAAAAAGTGCCAAAACTCGACTTACTTTATGGCAAGCTGATATTTTTTTAAACACGAAACGTATTCCTGGTATATCGCTTGCTCTTTTGATAATACAACTTCTTTACTTTCATAACGTTCACATTTCTCCGTACGTAATGTCATCGTGATATTTTCAATTTGCTCGCTGTGAAATACTTATGATTTTTATATTATTATATTCCTCAAAATAGTCCAAGTATTTATCGTATACATTGCCTGCGATCACTTACCCAATAATTGAGAATAAGCTACACGCATGAATGGTACATGTAAAGTGCAGTGTATCGGCGCACACCATAATGCTCATACCCACCACAATTATAACAGAAATATAACAGAAAATTGGCACGAAGTACTCGTCTGTATCCACTCTAAATTCAACCTCGAGTGCCAAGACTCGTGGACGCGATTCGTTAAGAGGTAATACGATATCTAGGAACACCGGTGTCAATGGGATTATTATAAACATTGAACTTAGAAGGTACATCATAGCTGCAATTTCGTGAAAGACATGCTTTCTGCGTTAATTTTATTTTACACATATGTCTCGCAATTATCATTATTCTTGGTCTCGTCATCTTCTAAAAATTATGTAATTATGTTTATTACATACTTACTTGAATAAAATATCGAAAATTTTCGCGATATGGTAGAATAATTTTTTAGAATACGAACTTCTAATTCATCCGTGAAAATCTCCCAATGATCATTCATGGCTTCGTACAAACAACGAAACTGATTGTAATAATATATATTAATAAAAATTTTATTGGGATAGTGATTTTGAAAAATGGTGGATGGTGCACATATCGTTTAGAAAGTTTACCTTATCCCGATTCCAAATTTCATTCCATAATCTTACTATAAAGGCGGTTGTTATGACAATTTGATAGCAACCTTCAAAAATCATTTGCGCATCGTCTCGGTGATCATACAACAATAATATCTACGTGTAATGTCAATTTTTTAACCGAAACACATGTGACAAAACAATTATATTGTGACTTTTTGAACATTGGTTGATACACATTACCTCGAACGGATAAAAACTTATTTCAAGTACAAGACAAAAGATTGGTAACGAATTTCTCACAAGCTTACTTTGAAACGGCCAAAGGCCTAAGCGTGACAAAAATATCTTATTAACATTATATTCTCGTAAGAAATGCACCAACATCATATCTTGTTTTCTGTTTAGTGGCTACGATACAAATGACGCGTACAACAATATCGACCCTCTGTTAAATTCAAGCTGTCAGAAATCATCAATATGAGATGACATTTTTTTCTTCCTCATATTCCAAATAGTATCGTCTTATTTTTTTCATATCACGTACTAAAGTAATAATATTGCGTGTTTCGCGAATAATAACTATGAGAGTGAGAACGCACCTTCTGTGCCGCTTTATTGATCGGGCGCTTTCTTTACGAACACCATTATTAGCATTGCGATTGTCAATAAGCGCAGGTGCGATTGTTAAAGTGCTTTCCGTGCCAAGCAAAATCTAAGTATTTTTTTTTTTATTAATATACAGTTAATCAAAAGTCATAACATAAACATTTCAGCAAAATTTAGAAAGCTCTATAAAATATACGCTGTTAATCCCTGAGTGATAAGAATGTGGTGAAATAAGACATGCTCGCCCGCAACACCTTAAATCAAAAACAAGCATGCACATATAAGTTATTTTTTTGTTATATGAAAGTTATAAATTTATATTTATAATGTGTTATAAATATAAATTTATAACTTTCATAAATTTAAATTTAATTTAAATTTATTTACCATAGCGTAAGTAGTCATTGACAATGGAATTATATTACCAGCTGTTAAGCTGCAAGGTATAAAACTTCTATGAAGAGTTATAATCAACAGCGATTTTAATCTCGGTGAAAATTTATACCATTCCGCGGCGTATCTAGAAATATAATTTTAAAAGATGATTATCTAGAAATATAAATTTAAAAGATGATTGCTATATAAGTTTTTTATAAATAATTAATATATAATTAATTGTACTTTATTAAAAGATTAAGCTTTTATTTTTTACTTTTATTTTTTTCTAAAAATATAAACGTTTACATAACAGTCATAAATTTATAGATAAGTATAATAAATTATAAATTAATTTTTCAGGAAAACGATTACATGAAATTTATGTATAAAGTGTAATAATATATCTATATATAATTACATATATGAACAGTATGTATGTGTGTGTGTTTCATGCACAATATAAAAAGACAAAAGCGTCACATTAATATATTACTATAAAGAAAAAACTTGCTTCATTGAGTTTAAAATACAATAAGTCACATTATTAATTTTTTAGTCTTATTTTGGAATAAAATTAAATGTTTCGTGTGAATTTTTGGATATTAAAAACGATAGTTTATGTACTTAGATAGTTTATGTAGTTTATGTTATGATTTAAAGAAAACAAGTTATAAAGGTTGTAAAAATATATAAAATAATTACATAATTATACATAAAAGAATATGTAATATATGTAATTTTATTACGCTTTGTTATATAATTATATAAACATGTATATAATTGTAATTTGTTACACTTGAATACAATGAAAATTTTAAACAATTGTTCAAAAAATAAAAGTCGATTCAAGTTCTCAGAATTTTTATTTGTAATTCTTTAACGTGGATAAGCAGTTAAATATGTGCTCTTTTACATACAATAAAATATTGTTATTTTAAAGCAATTGTTATTACAAATTCTGATGCGAAAAATTTAAAAATCAGATTTGTAAAAACTTCTAAAAAGAATTCCAAATTCTATGTACGAAGTATCTAATTTTGTTCCGCGATTAAAAAATTTTTTTTTTATAAGTTAATATTATTTATAAGAAATTTATAAAAAGATTATTTTAAGTAAACTTTTAAATAAGAAATGTTATACAGTACAGAATTTTACAATACGTATAAATATATAAGCAACAATATACAAAAATATATACATAAACAACAATTGGGCATAGCTCATAGTATCAAATATAGCTCGTAGTAAGAAAATTCTTACATTCGATGGAACACGTTCTGACTTTCATCTATCAACATTTGACCGAAATAACATAAGACCAGGAGTTGTACTAACATTCCTATGATCCCAAAACTATACCTTATCGCTTCTTCTAATTGATCCAATACAGATACAACCTATAATGTATGAAATGTGGTATAAAAGAAACATATTTTTAAAATTAAAATTTTATTTATTAATAACAATCTGTTAATTTTGTCTTTTCTTAGTAAAAAATAAATATTATGTAAACAGTTCACAATAACTACTCACTCTAACTCCAACCAGACTTATAAACGCAGCAATTAAAAACAACAAAATTAGTGCTGTCGTTCGATATATCGAATTTAGTAAATCGACAAATCTATGGAATATAAATAATATATTAACATATTAGAAACACAGATTGTGGCAAGACTATTTAGAAAAAAAACTATTTACTGTAAAGCAAGCTGGTATTTTTTTAAACATATAACATATTCTTGATATATTGTTTGCTCGCATGTTGATTTGGAACAGCTTTCGTTAATTTTCTCATTGATGATCAATTTTGATATTATATTCTCGAATTGCTGACTGTAAAAAAGTTCTTATCATATTTTGAAATCAAATTGAAAAAATTATCTGTATACATACCTGATGATCGAAAATAAACTACAAGCATGAACAGTGCGAGTAACATGTACACTGTCGGTACCAACTATAATCATCACACCTGCCATGATTACACTCGTACTATAGCATAATAATGGTACAAAATACTTGTCCTTATCTATTATCCAGTCTATAGAAATCGCGAAAACTCGTGGTCGTGACTCATTAAAGGGTCGTACAATATCAAATAAAACCGGTTTAAGTGGAACAATTATAAATATTGCTGACATAGAATAGATTATTGCTGTAATTTTACAATAAAATTACATTTTGTATAAATTGTATAATTAAGAAAATTAAAATCAATATTTTCTTAGCAAAAATATTTGTATGAAATTTATCGACACAAATAATTTGTTTTCTAAAGTTTTTATTAAATTTATATCTACGTTTTAACTTCATAGCGTTACTCAATCTGTATGCTCTTTCTGTACATACTTACTTAAATAAAATATTGAAAATTTTCGCGATGTGATAGAATAATCTTTTAGAATACTCCTTTCAAATTCACTGGTAAATATATTCCAATGCTTCTCCATGGTTTCGTATAAACGTTGTATCTGATCGTGCCAAAATTATTTTTTTGGAATAATAATTAAAAAATCATGAATAAGTTAATGTTCTTTATGTACATACCTTATCGCGGTTTAAAAACTCATTCAATAATTTAATGATGAACATAGCTAATGAGACAATATGATAAAAAGTTTCAAAAGTCACTTGAGCATCTTCCCAATAATTGTATAACACTGATACCTAAATGTAACGTTTATTATAACATGTTAGATAATATATATCACAAATGTAAATGTAAAAAATAGATTTAGACTAACAATAAATTTTATGCGCTGCTTGCATTGCGTAAATAAAAATGCTTTAATGTATTATTACCTCGAGCAGAAAATAACTTGTTTCACATACAAGATATAAAATCGGTAAGAAATTCCTTATAAAATTATTTTGGAATGGCCAAAGGCCTAGATGTGACAATAATATTTTATTGACATTGTGTTCTCGCAGAATGTGCACCAGCATGATATTTTGAAACTTGTGATACAATAACACGTACAATGCCAATGTGTGCCCGCTTTTGTTAAGATCAAATGTCCAACAGTTTAAAATTGTAGGATTTCAAGAATTGATACGATATAGCTATACGTACCATAGCAATATATCTAGCGTTTAAATTAAACTATCATTTTCCCATTCCCCATTCTTATATTTTAAGTGACATATAGACAATGTCTTTTCAGACGAATACTTACATATGCAGACACATCGCGTGATGTACTATACGTATAGCGTGATGCTACATGATTAATATTCATAAGATTGAAAACGAACATTTCGTCTCGCTACTTTATTGATCAGTTTCTTCCGGTCACAATTACTAATACGAATTGCGACAAAGAATAAATGTAGATGCAATCAATTTGAAAATTCTTTTTATGTCCATGTGAGTGAAATCTAAATAATTAATCTAAATAATCGATTACATTGTTACAAATATTAATCATTCAGATAGGTTAGTCCTTAAAAAAAAACTACAAAATGTATAAAACTAATTAATCTTTGACTGATAAAATGTCATGAAGTAGGATATTTCTGTCCGCACTGTCTTAAATTAAATACAGATGCTATGTGAATTTTCTTCTATATAAATAAGAATTTATAATTCTCATATTTATTGCAGCCTGCGAAAAATTTTGTCTTACGTTTCCGATTTATTTTTGTATGTTAAATAATTTCTTGTTTGATTGTATTATCCATTCTTGTACATTTTGAGGAGAGGAGGGGGATGAGGTTCTAGGATCCAATAGGCGTCTTATTAGAAAATATCAAAAAACATAAAATATCTCATAAATTATTAACTTTTTGATAATTATATCTTATTATGTTTTATACTTAAATTTAAAGCATCTGAAATATACTAAGATATTTTCTGACATTACCTAGATCTACAAAATTTCTTTGTGACTTCCTGGTTTTCAAATACATTGAGGATCGAATTTAAATCAATAACACATACTACTAACATAATAATATTACGTGACGCAGTAAACATACTATGCGAGTAATAACAGTAAGAATGCACGTCTTGTCATTTTATTGATCGGATGCTTTCTTTACGTTCATCATCTTTAACATTAATTACAACTATTAATAAATGCAATTTAATAATTACAATTATTAATAAATAAAATATGTGTCAAACACTTTAAAGTGCTCTTTGAGCTAAGAATATTTGGACTAAGTACTTTTAAAAACAATAAGCCAAAGATTTTAGCAAAATATAAAAAGTTTGACAAAATATATGAAGCAAATTAATTTTTGAGTGATGAAAATGTAGTGAAATAAGACATGCTCGCTCGCAACACCTTAAATCAAAGAGAAGCGTAAAAATAATTTTTTCTATGTCGCAAATATAAATTAAATTCTTAATTTATATTTAAATTTGAAACTTACCCCAGTAAAGGTAGTCATTGATAATGGAATTATGTTACCGGCTGTTAAGATGCAAGGTATGAAACTTCTATGAAGAGTTATAATCAACAATGATTTTAACTTTGATGAGAATTTATACCATTCCGACGCGTATCTAAAAATATTATTTCAACACATTATTTTAAAAACTTTTAAACAAGGAATAGAATTATTCAAAATGCAAATAATATAAAATTTTTCAAAATGCATTACAATATATAAGTGACAATTAATGATTTGAACATAGTTTAAAATATAAGAAAATTCTTACATTCGATAGAATACATTCTGATTTTCATCTATCAACATTTGACCAAAATGACATAGGATCAGAAGTTGCAATAACATTCCTATGAATCCAAAATAACAAAGTGCTAACTGTTCTAATTGATTTACATATAAGATCTACAATATATAAAATGAATGATATTACATAAATTATATTTTAATTATATATTTATTAATAATAATGTCTCAACTATGTGTGTCATTATACAAAATAAATAGTATGTAAATAATTTATAATATACTTACTCTAATTCCGAGCAAACTTATAAACATACAAATTAAGAACAATAAAATTAATGTTACTGGTTGGTATATCGAATTTAATAAGTTGACAAATCTATAAAATAATAATATAAATAATATATCAATATATTAAAAACATTGATTGTGTCAAGATTATTTAGAAATAATTCTTTACTGTAAAGCGAATTGATATTTCTTTAAACATATGATATATTCTTGATATATTATTTGTTCGCGCGTTGATTTGTAGTAGTTTTCGCAATTGCTAGTTTTCTCATTCATGACTAGATTTGGTATTATCTTTTCGAGTTGTTGACTGTAAAATTAAATTTTTAATGTCTTTTGCAATAGAATTGAAAAAAAAAGAATTATTTCATACGTACCTGATAATCGAGAATAAGCTACAAGCATGAACAGTGCGAGTAACATATGCAGTGTCGGTACCAATCAGAATAATTACACCCATCATCATTACAATCGTAGTATGGCAAAATATCGGTACGAAATATTTATCTCTATCTACTCTCCATTCTACAGGGACTGGGAAATTTCGTGGTCGTGATTCATTAAGGGGCCGTATAATATCGAGAAAAATCGATTTAAATGGATGAGTTATAGATATTATTAACTAGTTATAGATATTATTAATTTATATAGATATTATTATAGATATTATAAAGTAAAGTGTTACTGCAATTTCACGGAATAAATATATATAGTGTATAAATTATTTAGTATATATAAATTAACAGTATCTATGTTTCATCTCACAGCAAATCTACTTTTTGCATATACTCACTCGAGTAAAACATTGAAAATTTTTGCGATATGATACTGTAATCTGTTAGAACATTCCTTTCAAAGTCATTGGTAAATATATTCCAGTGATTCTCCATAGTTTCATATAAGCATTTTATCTAATTGTAAAATAATTTTTTTAATAATAATTAAAAAAACATGAATAAGATAATGATGACTAAGACAGTGTGATGTTCTTATATAGTGTCTGATTTCTAATAATATACTGTTTTTGTATAGATAAAGCAAGTTAAATTAAGCAGAACAGTTCTCTACTATTTTACGATTTGTACAAATAGTAATAAGATTAATTATCAAAAATTGCCGAATAAACGCGTATTTGTACTGCAAATAACAATACTGCAGCAAGATGTGGCCATCTAACGTTACACGCATTCGCAGTAGCGACGAAATGTTTGGAGATGTGTATTATAAGCGAATATTCTATCATTTATAGCCTTCACGTTTAAATATCTCACCACATTCCTATCAACTACGAACGCATGTTGGACGATTGTACTTCGCGCGCTTGCATTCGTTGATGAACCAGGCTTCTATGCTTTGCTCTGATGATTTTTAATAATTAATAACTTTACTAATTATGAAAATCGCAAAATAATACATAACTTTTCTGTTCAGTTTGATCATCTCTAGTTACACACAAGCGGCATATCATTAAGAATTAGACCTTGTATATACAAACCTTGTCACGGTTCCAAAACTCATAAGATAGTTTAGTGATAAACATAGTTAATGCAGCAATGTGATAACAAGTTTCAAAAATCACTTCCGTATTTTCCAAGTGATCATATAATGTTATTATCTAAATGTAATGTTTGTAATAATATGAAGTATATATTTATTAAGTAAGTATATTAAAATGTATGTATAAAAAATATATTTACTTCGACAGCAAGTTTTATGCATTATTGGCATTGTGTAGATAAAGATATTTTAATGTATTATTACCTCGAGCAGAAAATAACTTGTTTCACATATAAAATATAAAATCGGTAAGAAATTCCTTATAAATTTATTTTGGAATGGCCAAAGACCTATATGAGACAATAATATCTTATTGACATTATATTCTCGCAGAACGTGTACCAGCATGATATCTTGAAAGTTGTGATACAAATGTTACGTATTACAACACGTTTCTGCTTTTTTTAAAATCATATTTTACATGGAATGAAATTATAGAATGTCAACTATCTTTGCACAATGTAGTTATATCTACGATAGCGATATATGTATCGTAAAATTAAACTATCATTTTCCCATTCCCCAGTCTTATGTTTCAAGTGGCATATAGACAATGTCTTTTCAGACAAATATTTACATATGCAGACACATCGCGTGATGTACTATACGTATAGCGTGATGCTACATGATTAATATTCATAAGATTGAAAATGAACATTTCGTCTCGCTACTTTATTAATCAGTTTCTTGCGGTCACAGTTACTAATACGAATTGTGACAAGGAATAAATGTAGGTGTAATCAATTTAAAAATTTTTTTATGTCCATGTAAGTGAAGTCTAAATAGTCGATTACATTGTCACAAATGTTAATAATCATTCAGTTAGTCCTTACAAAATTAAAAAAATTACAAAATGTTTCAAACTAATTAATCTTTGACTGATAAAATGTCGCGAAGTAGGATATTCCTGTCCGCAGTATCTTAACTGAAATAAAGAAAACAACTTTTGGCGAACTCGATCTTAGGCGTATGATAATTTTTCTTTTATTAAATTTATATATACACGGTGTCCCAGGGTTGAGGTGACTCGTACCCCAACCCTGGGACATCCTGTATATATAAATTCGAAATTGATTCCTTATATTGAGCGAACTACGTGCTATTAATGAATTAATGCTTTTAATGAACTTAGAAGTTATCAGAGAATATTTTGGATATTATCTTTAATAATGGCTGATACAACTGCACAATAATTGCTATGATACAATTGCACAATGTGCAATCGACTCTTTGTCAAGTTCAAGTTAACAGAATGTCAGGAATCGTTAGCATAAAATGGTTGTTTTTCTGAAATAACATATTAAAATTAAAGTGTAACTAACATTTTTCTTTTCTCATATTTAAAATAATATTTATTTTATATATTTCTCAATACATCACATACAAAAACATGTTATGCGAGTCGCTTTATTAATCGGATTTTCCTTACGCACACTTACTATTAATTATATATTGATAAATGCATGTGTGATTATTGATTTTAAAGTGCTAAGCAGAAT